GAGTGTGGCTCGGGGTTAATACTCAGTACTATAAGCGGTAACCCCGAGCCACACTCGGGATTACAGCGTAGCGTCTCTTACCTTGTCCACGATCCCCGCTGTGTCCTCCATCTTCTGGGTTCTGTCCCTTGAGAGCATCTGCGTTGCAGGGGGGCGGAACCGGCGGGAATTTTAAAAGTTAAAAAAAACGGAAAAAAAATAGAACAAAAAAGGAAAACAATAAATAAAAAATAATCAGACCGCCAGGGAGGCTAATCTGTCAGCCCGCTGGATGTGCGGTAATACTGTATGTATGGTAGCTTCGGCTACATACAGTATACCGGGCTGAGCCAATCACGGCGAGCGATGTATTCTATTAATGAATACAAAGCCTGCTCGGATTGGCAGAGGTTGTACACAGCTATCGTACTTACAGTATTACCGCACAATAAGCGAGCTGACAGACTGTATACACGGCGTATAAGACGACCCCCGATTTTGGGGGGTTGTTTTTAAGTATAAAAAGTCGTCTTATACACCGGCAAATACGGTACTTTTCACCTACTATTTTCTCCTACACCCATCACCTGGACAGGAAGCGAGGGCAAATCTCCTCAATGAAGTCATAGGCAGGCATAAATGTCTCTCAAAAGGTCCTAATCCTTACCTTCACTAAAAAAAAATTGTGATAGTGATTTTAACCCTTTCCACTCTATCCAACACTAATAAGGTTATTCACTAAAGGCTGAAGAGTTTGGAGAAGGCAAGAGAAGTGAACAATCTAGGACAAAATAGCTGATTTAGAAACATTCTCCAATTCAGCTCACTTTTCAGTTCAGCTATGTTGTCCTAGATTCTTCACTTCTCCTGCCTTCTCCGAACTCTTTATCCTTTTGTGAATAACCCTGTAATATACTTGTCTGGAACAGAACCACATTTTGTTAGTTTGGTCAAAGAGGAAGGGATAAAGCCCTGCCAGATTTTTATCCAGGCAGTTTAAACTGCACGTTTAAGCCGTTTCCAGTCAGGCTTTTCAATTACAGAGCCTAGATAACATGAGGGGGGTGAGCAACACCATGAGTTGCATGTCTTTGCTAGTATTAGCTAGCAGTTTTCCAATGCTTATTGCTGGACAAAAGTAGCATGAACCGAAGTCAAACATAGTTCTATGCATTTATCAAGGTACATGTGTTATATGGCTTTTTAATGTTCATTGAGTAATTCTAGGTTGAATCTCAACTTCAAAGTTGATAAGAAAGGTTGAAAAATGCATCTAGTAGTTTTCTCTAATATTACTGAACAGGCTTGTTAGACTAACATTAGACACCCCTATCCTATGTAATAAGGATAAACTTACCCCTGAAAGCTATGCCAAAAAAGGCAGACAAAGGTCAATTAACTAGTTCCCAATATTGCCTGTGATCTTCCTGCTGCCTTGTTCTGCACTGCACCTTTGTGTTGGGGTAGCCATGTTGGTGGAGGCAGGGCTTTGATTCCCTTATGCCAGAGCCTCCAGCAAGGAGAACAGTGAAAAATACCTTAATGACATCACCAAATTTCACACCGCATCTCCTGTGATTAGCAGGCAGAGGCAGCACTGCCTTGGATTTCACACTGCAGACATACAACTATGAAGCCGTAGGCACACTCACATGAGAGACCACCATGAGAGAAATTCACCATTGCTGATCTCCTAAAAATAGTGGATGCCTGACTGTCATGCATATCCCTTTGCTTTAATACTCTCTGATTTACTTACTTTTAGCAAGTAAGCAAATCATGCTGTCCATCTATTGTAAAACACACTTAGGGCCAGGGTGGAGGTTGCTGTTTTAAAGGTTGCCACGCCTCCCTACCTGCTAGTGTTAATTACACCCAAGGGTAGTATTCCCAATTGGTTATAATCCCAAGTGCTATGCATAGCACCTCAAAAGACTAGTCTTTTGCACTGTTTTGTGTGTTGTGATAAGTGTGTTGTTCCCTGCCCATACACACATAGGTGTTTTTTATCCAATCAAGATCCAGGGTTCATCTGCAGCACTGACAAGCTTCTACTATAATCCAGGGGGAAGACCTTAGGCCTAGAATACATATAAGAAAAATATAAGAAGCCAGTGGGGGATTTTGCCCCTGTACCTCATTAACATATCACATAGCAGTTTTGGGTAGGCACTCACTCAAAAAGCTCCTGAACTTACTGTTCCACCAAAGCCAACCTTGACAAATACTGATTACAAGTTTGTACAGTTCATTGTTTTGTGTGTTCCACTGCCTCATGCTGATTGGTAGAACCAGCTGAATCTGTTTTGCTGGGAACCTTTAACAACTAAGGATGACTTCCATAGATTGGTTGCTTGACAGGTAAACGTGGATACCAGATACAGGAGCCATCTTTCCTTTGGATACATGCATAATTCTGTGCTTCCTGTCCACCTAGAGTGTGTTCATAGACCCAGTCTTTCCAGAGGCATTCATTTGGTGCACGGGTATCACACGATTCTACATAACAATACGTAATCTAAGAACAAACCATTGCAAGCAAATCTGTTATTTTCTTTCATAATTTACAAACAGAAAAGCAACTAAATTCATGTTATTGTATAATATCTATACAGCTGTTACATGGATTGTGGGGTTGTTCTGTTTTTAAGGAAACCTTTCCTAAGAGCAGCTGAAGGCTACCATTGCTGACTGTAGATGACACAGCAGTGTAAAACTGCCCAGCGGCATTACATTTGTAATGGGGCAGAACTGGCTGAAATGTACTAGAGGCAGGTAGGTGTTTTACTACTTGAATTAAGAGTCTGCAGATGATACACTACTGCCAGCAGCAGGGCAATATTAATGAGCAAGGCTAGGCCCAAATTTACTAGAGACGAAGAATACAGGTATGGTTTTTCTACAAGAATTAAGGTATTGCAAAGAATATAGCAGTGTAAAATTTGCCAACAGGAAAGGTTTAATCATGGATATTAGGCCTTAGCAGTGTATGCATTTTACTTTTACTATGGGATAGGGGGGTGGGGAGGGGGGGGCTGCTGTTTCTATGGATAAGGTAATTTTGCTCAAGCTGACTTTGCTCTTAGCTTTGAAAAGATGCAGTAGTATGCTGCAAACAAAAGGCAGCTAAAAGAAAAGATTGGCAGCAAAAGTAATGCTGTACTTTCAGCACCCCAAACTTAAAAAATGCCATATAAAAAAAAAAAACGAAAAGCCCCAAAATAGCACCCCTGAATCAAAAGCCCACTTTTTAATAAGGGAAAGCCTTGCAGTAAAATTTACCCTAAATTATTTTCATCAAGATACAGTAAAACAAAAAATCCAGTATATCCTCAAAATAAATGAAAACTCCAAAATAATACTCCTGTTTTTAAGGGAAGCCTTGCTGCAAAAATGCAATGTGACCTAAAATAAAGGTGCTATTTACATATAAAGAATATACCCAACCTCAAAATACTGCCCCTAAAAACAAAACCCCATTTTATAAGGAAAGTCTTGGAGCAAAAAAAAAAGTTTGCTACAGACAGGACAACAGCTAAATTTGCCTGCTGATCTTAAATCAACCACAGCATAAAACTAAAACAATGAACCCTACAATTATGACAAAAAGGCAGCAAAGGAGTTGATTGTTCAAAGAGCTAGCAATCAGAATTAAAGTATTGTTTCCCTAATCTTTCCCTATGCAGTTTGTCAGCTTTCCCTATCCTTTCCCTAGAACATCTTCCAATACTGACACTATGATTGCTCTGTGCCCCTCCATATAGTAAAGGTGCTGACACATAAAAAAATCCCCATTCAGGGGCATTCCGAGGCCGTGTGTCACCCTGAGTGGAGACTGGGTGACACCCCGCCGTGACATCATCATGCATGCTTGTGACGTCACCACGTGCGTGCGCAATAACGTCATCGTGCATGCGTGACCATCTAATTGACGCCTGCCAGTGGCCATCTTGGTGATGGATGTAGGCATAGAGAGGAGGGGATGTTCACCTGGCAGGATGAGATATGCCGCTGGGTCCCCTCCTCTCTCCTGACACTGTCGTGCTCTCGGCCCATGACCAAGTGCCCGAGTTTTTAGAGGGGGTGACACCAAAATGACTGTTAGTCATTTTAGTGTCACCCCTCCAGTGGTGTCACCCAGGTGTTGGCCACACCCACCACCCCCCTTGTGACACCACTGCCCCCATTATTGGCTTTTCTAAGCCTGGACTAAAGTGTAAAGGCCCCTGCAGTGCATTAAGGTTACAAATTTTGGCCTGGCAAATTCCCATACTAGTTCGCTGGGACTGCAAACCCTGAACACATAGGATTTGCCTCAACCCATGGTAGCACCGAACCTCAACCCTACTGGTCTACAACTTTCAACTATGGTTAAAATATCACAGAGTCTTGGGTCCTGGATTTCATCCTTGCTTCATCTGTTCTCTAAAAATCACTGGCATAAAAAAAAACCTATACTGAGAGAACTGTGAAGGCTGCCATTGCTAAACTCCTTCTGAAATGCTAGTTGCCTTTCTGTCAAACTGGTCTTTAATACTTTCTGATGCACATACCAAGAGCAGGCATGCACTTCAGAAAAGCCGGTGTGAAATCTGAATGACTAATCTTCCACTTGATTCGGGTTAGTGACTCTGAAAGTCGCTATTGGATCAGCATGATACCCAGGCAGTAAGTATTTTCAGCAATGCTCTCCTAACCTTCTATGGGCCATAGTTATAAACCAGTGAATGTGGCAATCACCAAAGCATTCCTTGTGAATATGTTATACAGTAATATACAGTGATTGATTCACTACCAGTGACTATTTGGGTGAATGTCACATTTACTGCTTCATAAATATGTGTTAACTAAGTAATAGTGTTAGAGATAGGATAAAAAGTGGTGGAATGCATCACACTTACCTTACAATTGCATCCCATTTGATAAGTGCTACTGAGACTCTCCATTTGGAATGCTGACACATCCTTCCAAGGTATAGAAAGACCACACAGACTGATGGTGACTTTGTTTTCCCATAGGTGGCCTTACAGAAATAAATAAGAGCATTATGCTATAGAAAGGAAGTTGACATCACAAACATTTGAGAATGCATGCAACCAGTCAGTAGGAGCCTAATGATTAATATAAATGTTCTAGAAGTACAGTATGTGATACAAATAATCTTTACATAATTCGCTCTCATTCCATTTTCAGGCAATTTCAACCAATTTTAACCTGTTTTTGATTGCAAAAACAAGTAAACGAAGGCAGTTCTTTAAAAATTGGAAACAGTTAAAATGTTTGCGGCAGCTTACTTTCATTCATGTTTGCAATTGGGGTTGGAAATTGCCTATAAAATTAAATTTGTATGACCAGCATAAGAATCAGTAGATTCACGAGAAAATGCTGACCTTGTGCCATATAACCAGGAGGAAACCCTGACTTCATAATGGTAGGGGTTTAGAAGAGAAGCGAACCTTGTTGGTAAAATGACACCACTGGATCCCATTGTTGAAATTTAGTTATTTAGTGCACCAGCCAACACGTTATTCAAGTGATAAAAAAAACTTAAAAGGAAACTATAATGGTTTTGGTCAATTGTATGTTACTTTTTTTAAACCAATGCTGTTTTATTTTAATTTTTACTATTAATATACAATCTTTGTTTTATAAATAAACATTGAATACAGAACAAAGGTTTCTCAGAGTATTACGGCTTTTTTTGAAGAGAGAGCACAGCACAGCAGCTTTCTTAGCAGTTCTCTTTAGGTCCCCACACACCTTAAGATAATCGCGGGAAATCCCGCGATCGTACGATTATCGTAAGGTGTGTGGAAGCCGTGCGACCTCTACTACTGTAAGGTTGCACGACTTTTAACTTACGGACATGTTCGAAAACCCGCCGAGCATTGTACGATGTTCGGCGGGTTTGTGGCATGTCTGTACGATAAAAGCCGTACGGGCCGGTGTGCGCAAGCGCACACTGCCCGTTCGGCATTGCGGTAATCAGAAGCCTGCCCCTCAGGGGGGCATGGCTTGCAAGATAGGCAGATCGTACAAAGTCTTGCGATGGTTGTAAGGTGTGTGCCCAGCCTTTGACTGATTGAAACCTCAGACCCAGCCTTCTGATAAGGGATGAGTCATTGATATTACAATTCTGTAAACAACAGGTTCCTTCAAAACAGCTGAAAACGAATAATGCTGTTGACATAAAAAAGAAACTCCACATGCTGGCTTACCATAATAAACAATGAAGGAAAATGTACAAAACCACTACACATTCTCTTTAAAAACCTGTCAAGGGATAGAACCGTTGTGAGAGTGTTACTGCTCTCTGTACTGATGACGAGGTTGCCCTTCACTCCCTTTAACCACTTGTTGACCAGGTGTTTAGACCCCCTTTCTGGCCAGGCCGTTTTTCAGTATTCAGCCCTGCGGTACTTTGACTGATGTTTATTTCGTCATGTAACGCTGTACTGAAATTAATTTTACACCATTTTTTGGGGACAGATATAGCTTTCTTTTGGTGGTATTTAATCACCTCTGGGGTTTTTATTTTTTACTATATTTCGGAAAAATTACTGAAAATTTAGAAAAACAAAAGTTTTTTAACATTATGTTAGGAAACAATGATTATTACCCAATTATTTAGGTAAAATATAAAAGACAGGGTGACATCAGGTAAATAGACACCAAACATCGCATAGCACCCCGTAATCGCAAAAAAAACTACCATACCCAAAATTGACCATAGGCGACACTTTTACAGCTCATCAGTTTAGTGTTATCAGTGATTGATGGCTCTAAAAGTATTGCTCTCACTGCGATGTTCACGGCGATATGTAACATGTGCGACGTAATGGGCGCAATCGTTGTTTTCGCAGGTATGCACAGCTGATGCATGTTTGCATGCGTGTATGTTTGGGTGGGGACTTTTAAAAAAAAAAAATGTTTTTCATTCTTTTTTATGTGTAACTTTAAATAATTTTTTGGAAACTTAAATTTTTTTTCCACTTTTTCCAGCCTGACTCGCACGGCTCGCCCGAGTGGGCGGGGCTAACAGGCCGTATATACACGGCCTGTTACATCGAGGAAGCTCCCGGCCTGCCATTTTTTTACAACGGCCGGCCGGGAAGCGGTTAAACACTTGACCTGACGTGTCCTGGCAGTCTTATCTTAATGTTTTGCTAACAATTTGCACAAGATGTTTTTTTGCCCATTGCCCTAATGTAGCGCTGAAAGGGGAATAAAGCTTTTCTAAAGTAAAACTCGTATGTTCACTTTAAGCTTTACCATTCCACTATATCACACAAAAGTCACACTAATGCAATATTTATTTTATTAGTTGACTTTGTTGATTATATTTTGGGGTAAATATATTGGGGAGTGAAAATTATGTAAATGTTGCCTTGGGAAAAATAACTAAAATGTATATTTTTTTTAATGTTCTACTAGTTATTACCAACTAAAACCAAGGAAATAAAAATATATTTATCCAAATTTGTCACAGAATTAAAGCCCCATCCGTCCTGAGAAAAACAATGTAAAACAATGTATATATCTTTTAGGTTTTGTAGTCTACTCTAACATACATATGTTAGAGTAGACTACAAAACCTAAAAGATATAGTGGGGGATTTATCAAAAGTGGAGCAGACAAAATCTGGAGCAGCTGTGCATGGTAACCAATCAGCTTCTCTCTTTCATTTTTAAATCTTAACTAAAGAAACCCGAAGAAAGCAGCTGATTGGTTGCCCTGGGCAACTGCTCCAGATTTTGTCTGCTCGAGTTTTGATAAATTCCCTCCATATTGTACGGAGCGGAGACGTCATCAACACACAAAACAGAAAAAAACACTCTGGGACTTAAAGTGACACTAAACTGAGTTAAATCTTGAAAATGCTTTCAAGTACCATAACTATTAACAAAAATGTATCTTATTTGTGCATCACTCAGCTGTAGATCCTCAAATCATCTCTGAGTTGGTGCTGACACTGTCCTTTCTCATTGAGGGTGGCTACTTTCATTCCCCATGGTGCCTGTGTGTGTTATAAAGTAGCCACCACTCCAAGCTTGCTCCTGTGATGGACTACAATCTTATGTTTAGTTTACTAATTTGTATTGAAATTGTAGTCCATCACAGGAGCGAGCTTGGAGCGGTGGCTACTTTATAACACACACAGGGACCATGGGGAATGAAGGTAGCCACCCTCCACGAGAAAGGACAGTGTCAGCACCAATTCAGAGATGATTTGATGTTCTACAGTGATAAGGTACTTGAATGCATTTTTAAGATTTAACTCCTAAGTTTAGTGTCACTTTATAGGAATTTAAGGAGAAAAAGGCAGAGGGACTCAAGTGGTTAAAGACAGGAAGTGATTTGGAAATCTCTCCAATGGAGGCACAGACAAAAACTTATTTTTAGTGGTGAGATCGGTTTTAAACTTCTGACAATGTTTTGATAAACAGGGAGAGAAAGTGTGAGAAGATTTCTTCAATTGGATCACATATCCCATAATTGTCTAAAAGAATTATGAACTCAGGCTGTGCAAGATCTTATATATCTGTCTGGCAGCCTGTGAAATTCAGCCATTTTGCTGTAGATATTCAATGTTTGTGGGTGTGCCAAATACCTGCCCCCCACAAAACACATTGTGGTTTCTTTCCCCGGTTGGTTTGCCCTGTAGTGGGGTCAAGAATTTACACAGACGGAAGTATGAAATGCCTGCAGCAGCCATGGAGCAGCAAAGAAGCAGCTTTTAAAGCTGATTTCAGGGATACTGTAAGTAAATATTTCCTAAATACAATAGGCATGTATATTTTTACGTGAATCTTGGTGAGCTTTGTGTATTTCTTCCAGATCTTCCAGCAGTAATCCAGTGTGAAACCTTACCCCTTTGCAGAAGCTTCCTGTAATAACCTGGGCCTGATCGAAGCGCTGAAAAACGCTCAATCAGTGAAATCCTATTAATTCCTATGGGCATGGTTCCCACCTGGGCGTCCCTACGCCCCAAATAGTACAGGAGCTTCCTTGGGGCGGATTTCAGTGCGTATCTTTTGGTATTTCCGAGTGTGGCTCGGGGTTAACAAAGCGGTACCCCCGAGCCACACTCGGGAATACAGCGTAGGTCTTACCTTGTCCGTGATCCCCGCTGTGTCCTCCGGCCGCTGCCGTCTTCCGGGTTCCATCTCTTGCGAACATCCGTGTCGCAGGGGGGACGGAACCGGTAGGACACACGCATTTCATTGGACAAAAAACGTGCTTAACCAGTTGACATCCGCGGTGTTAAACCCCCTTCCCATCCAGGCCATTTTTCAGTATTCAGCGCTGCGGTACTTTAACTGACATTTATTCCGTCATGCAGCGCTGTACGGAAATGAATTTTATACCCTTTTTTGGGGACAGATAGAGCTTTCTTTTGGTGGTATTTATTCACCACTGGGGGTTTTATTTTTTTAATATATTAAGGAAAAATTACCGAAATTTAAAAAAAAAAACAGTTTCCCCTATATTAAATGATAAAACATTTATTATTACCCAATTTTTTGGTAAAATATAAAAGATGGGGTCACGTCGGGTAAAAAGACACTAAACATGTCAAGCCTTAAAATTGCGTGCGCGCGCGAAACCTCAAAAAACGATAATACCCAAAATTGGCCATAGGCGACGCTTTAAAAGCTGTTACCGCTCATCAGTTTAGTGTTATCAGTGATTGATGGCCCTAAAATGATTGCTCTCACTGCGACGTTCGCGGCGATATGTAACATGTGTAGCGCAATTGTAATTTTTGCGCGCTGGGGCACCGGACGCGTATTTACGTTTATAGGCGCGTAAACGTGGGGGTGGGGGAGTTAAACATTTTGGGGGGGTTTTTTCCCCTTTTTTTATATGTGGCTTTTATTTTATTTTATTTTTTTATGTGTTACTTTTCTTTTTTTTTATTTATATTTTTTTTTTTGCACTTATTGTTATTGCTATTATATAGGGGGATAACAACCCCCTATATAATAGCAAAGGCACACTGACAGGTCCTCTTTATGGAGATATTAGGGGTCTCTAGGACCCCTAATATCACCTATGGACCCCAAAAGAAGCTGATAAAGCAGAGATCTGCTTTATCAGCTTCTTCTCTCTCCAGATGACTGACAGGTGAATGCGGAAGTGATGTAACACACATCACTTCTGCATTCACAGCCCGGACGGGGATCAGCAAGGAGCTGATCTCCCGTCCTCCTCCTCCTGACGCCCTCGGAGCCGGTCCCGGGATCCAAGATGGGGCAGCGGATCCCGGGAATCAAGGTGAGGGGTCAGGGGGAAAAAAAAAAAAAAAAAAAAAACCGGAAGCGCCGAGCGGGCGCGGGGGGGGGGGGGATGGGTGCCGCGAACGAGCACATATAGGCGATCGGCGGGCTATGGACCCGCTGATCGCCTATATGTGTAACACCCGGTAACGGGTGTGTGCACTGATCGGGTCTTTTCTGCCCGTGCGTGCCCACTAGGGGGCGCGCGCGAGCAGAAAAAAATTGCCATCTGGAGACGGCAACCCGCAGATGCAGCAGTGCCGTCCGTCCGTTTTTTTACTACGAGCGGACGGCAAGAGGTTAAAAACGCGCATAAAACGCACTTATCAGGAACTCCCAGGTGTGAACCAAACCTCAGACTGGTGATTCAAGGAAGTGCAAAATTCAGAGGGCTGAGAGAAATTGTGTCAGTGCATTGACCAAGTACATCCTATGGGCATCTTCAATAAGTAAGCTTACAAACTTCTAGATCAATATAGTTATTTGGAGTCGGATAGAGCTTATGGCACTTCAATGTAGAAATGCTTATTTATTTTCAGTTTTGGACCATAGATGCTCTGTAACATTGGCATTTATTTTTATATGTTGTGTGAAATTCAATATACAAGATAAATGCTGGTGCCTTTGTACAGTGCAGTCACTTTGTACCTGTTAGTAAATATTCCATCTTCTTGACAACGTCTAACTCAATGCCACACATAGAAGATTCAGCAGAGGTGTACACGCTATCAATATCTTTTATCTTGTGAAAGCCTTTAAACATCTGCAATCATCAAACATATTCAGTAAAGGTTATCATTATTTCTCCACAAAAAAATTGGATACAAGTACAAGCAATACTCTTATGAAAGTTATATGAAGGCTGCCTTTGCCGATTTCTTTCTGAAAATGCTAATTGCCTGGTTGCTATGCTGATAGGCATATATATTAGGCATTCTTTTTTTTTTTAAACGCTTTAAAAAGGGTTTAAACTTACCTGTGTCTTCCCCCGCGTGCTCCCGTCCGAAAATCTGAACAATCTCGGTTGGCCGCAAAGGATCTTGCGGCGGGCGCACGCGCAGTTCAGATTTTCGGCCGGGAGACGAGGAGAGACACAAGGTAAGTCTATGGACGGTGTCCACCCGCATGCACACATCTAGGGACAGGAAGTACCAGCATGCACAGAGGAGTCAGCGCTGGATCGGAGACCCGCAGCAGCACTGGAGAGAAGGCTGAAAAGGACAGGAAAGAAGAAGATCCTGTCATGGAAATATTCTTTCCTCTCATTCTTGACAGTTTCTGAACCTTTCCTACACTATCCAAAACTAGAAGATAAAACGTTTGACTAGAATCGGGTTTTAAACTAAAACTGTTGCACACTTAAACTAACCTGAGCATTTAAACTGGGAATATGATGAAGAAAATAAAATAATCAGAAATTACCTTTAGTAAAAATCCAGTTTCAAAATCATCAGTGGGTTTAAAAATGTAGACAACTAAGGTAAAATGTAGGCAGCTCAACCACACAGCTGCTGGTGTGCGTGAGGCTGGCACAGTGCTGATGCACTCAATAGGGATGCATTGCACTTTTTTTTAGAACTTTATAAAAATTTTTAAGTGTGCCCACTTGTGACAAGGCAAATTACAGTGTCTTCGGAAAAAAGGAGGTTGTTCCCTGGAGTTCTGATATACCTTGAATATCCCCTTTAATGTTTAATTAATCATTTAAATAGGTCATCAAGGTCATATAACCAAAAGTAGTCAGGACAAAAAAGAAGGTAACAGTGTTTTACCAGAGAGAACACTGTAGAAGAAGGTTATTGAATTGACCGAGACCTATAATATTATAAAAATATAAACTTTATTGATTACAGGATAATATAAAAAAGAAGGGGATCTCCCGATCACTAGAATTAAATGTTAATCTTAAATTACGGTTATTTATATTTAATTCTGAGATAAATTCCTTACCCTAACCCTAACCCTAACCTCTTACATTAACGCTAAGCAGGAACTTAATTATGGAGTAGAAACAGGTGTAAAATTAAGGATATTCCTACTTTAGGAAACTATCAAGAAATCAAACACTGCCAAGTTTGTGGGAACGCTTAGTTTGTATGAATGAATGGGAGTATGAGTGTCATGAACAACGTTGTTCTTTCAATAGTAATTTGAGAAGTTAACTAACAGACACCGAAAATATTATCCTGTAATCAATAAAGTTTATATTTTTATAATATTATAGGTCTCGGTCAATTCAATAACCTTCTTCTACAGTGTTCTCTCTGGTAAAACACTGTTACCTTCTTTTTTGTCCAAATTACAGTGTCTTGCATTTTGGCTGCGCTAGAGAAAATGCCCAGTACTGCCCGATTGCATCAGGAGTGAATGGGCCCTTCATAAAATGATGGAGGGATGAAGAACATTTTGGTAGGGTCACCCAGCATTTATTTAGTTTTCTACTATTTTTAGAGTGTTCTGTTTACAGTCATTTTGCACTTTTCATTTATGTTTTTAATTTGATTTGCATATTGTACAGGACGCCAGGGAAGGGTTCTGGAAGGTCGGTATGTGTCCCCTCTATTTGTGTTATGGTCCCTTTAAGGGGCAACAGAGTGTTAACTGCCAGGCAAGAGGAAGTGGCTAGAAAAGACAGGAAACACTACAGATCTTGTTGGAGTTGGAGTAGCACAGGTGTGCAGAAAAAACTATGTGAGCTGCTGAACTGGACTGGGCTTTGCTGAGAACTGTTTGTTCTGTGGGAAGTTACCAAAAAGCTCTGGGACTCTGGTGTTATACCTGCGAGCAAGATTTAAGTGGGTGAGACTCTGTTTATGTTATGCTGAAGATAAGCGAACTTAATTATATTATATGCTGAAGATAAGCTATTTTTGTTGGATTGCCTTGGCTGTCTTTTTTTACAAAAATAAAGACTGTTTATGTTCTATGAAATACCGGCTTTGAGACTGATCCCTGCACGCTTACCATTGTGCTAAGTCCCCCAAATATAACAACTGGTGGAGAATGTGGGCATAATCGGGTACTATATGTGATTTGTTCCCAATTTTGCCACCATTGCTGCACCACTAACTGACCCAACTAAAGGCAGGAAGTCAGTGATGATCTGTGAAGCTTAAAGAAGCACTATGTCAGCATCCCACCTTGGTTACTCTGGACTTTTCCCTGGAGCTTATAGTACAGGCAGATGCCTTGAGTGAGGGTTTAGGGGCTGTCCTGAGCAGGGGCAGATCCAGAGTCTATTCTCGGGAGGGGCACTGCCAGAAAATTAAGTAGATCGCTGGATCCAGACAAGCCCACCCTCCTGTCTCCCACGCTGTCAGAAACTGCATACAGCGTGTGCTGGTTACTACTTAAACCGGCGCGCTGTGTGCAGCTTCTGAGAAGAAACGCTATTAGCATAGCGAGGAAGCCGGCTGCGCATTTTGCATCACTCACGCTACGCTAATAGCGTATCTTCTCAGAAGCTGCACACAGCGTGGCCGTTTAAGTAGTAACCAGCACGCTCTGTAGGCAGCTTCTGACAGCGGGGGAGACAGGAAGCTGGGCTTGTCGGTGGATCCATGCATCAGGTGAGTATTAAAAAACAAAAATGTTTTATTTTATGTTTCTGGGGACATGTAGGGCTCATTCACACTGGAATCGGCCGGCACGTACAGCTCCGTGCTGTGTGCACGGCCGTATCGGGCAGCTTCGGGAAGGACAGGTGCATGCGTATGATTAGTATGCAGCCCCTGTCCTTCTCTATGGGTGTATGCAGCCGTACACCCCCCTACGCTCACCCGCCCAGCACGTCCGTACGGGTGCATGTTTCCTTGCTCGGACGCAGACAGGATCCACCGATGTACAGGACGGGTGAACGCATGGCGGCGTAGTCCCATAGAGAAGAATGGGAGCTGTGTACTAATCACATGCAGCACCTGTCCTTCCCAGGAGCTGCCCGATACGGCCGTGCACACAGCACGGAGCTGTACCTGCCGGCCGATTCCAGTGTGAATGAGCCCTACATGTCCCCAGGAACATAAAATAAAACATTTTTGTTTTTAAATACTCACCTGATGCCTGGATCCACGACAAGCCCTTAAAAATGTTCCTGGATTTAAAAAAAAACTGGTCACCTTACCCTGGTGGTCAGTGGGGGCTCTGGTTGGTAGTGAGGGCTCTCCTGTGGCCGCACCAGCCAGTTTGCCCGCAGTAGATCCCGTCACTGAACCCCCTGCGCTAAATGAAGCCCCCGGCCGCAGGTGCAGTGGTGGGGGGGTATGTTCAGGACGCCAGGGATGGGTCCAGGAAGGTCGGTATGTGTCCCCTCTATTTGGGTTTTGGTCCCTTAAGGGGCAAAAGAGTGTTAAGTGCCAGGCAAGAGGAAGTGGTAGAGAAGACCTGAAACTCCATAGAATCTGTGGAGGAGTTGGAGTAGCACAGATGTGCAGAAAAAACTATGTGAGCTGCTGAACTAGACTGGGCTTTGCTGAGAACTGTTTGTTCTGTGGGAAGTTACCAAAAAGCTCTGGGACTCTGGTGTTATACCTGCGAGCAAGATTTAAGTCGGTGACACTGGCGGAACTACCTGGGTCGCAACGGTTGCAATTGCGACCGGGCCCTGGCGTTCCACCTGTTGGGGGGGGCCCGAAAGCTTCCTCATGCCCCCCCCTCCAGATAGCGCCTGGCCTCTGGTCGGTGAGGCTCTGTTTATGTTATGCTGAAGATAAGCAAACTTTATTTTATTATATGCTGAAGATAAGCTATTTTTGTTGGATTGCCTTTGTTGTCTGCCTTTACAAAAATAAAGACTGTTTCTGTTTGAAGAAAAAACAGCTTTGAGACTGATCCCTGCACACTTACTATTGTGCTAAGTCCCCCAAATATCACACAATATATACGTGTGTTGTTTTTTACATTTCTAAGCATTTTATAAACATTTTGTTTTGTATCATTTACAACCACTTAATAATTTGTAATCTGATTATAAAATGATTCTGATATTATTTTTAAAGAGTATATTTTGGTCAGATATTAATTTGCATTTTTAGAGATATGTTCTATTTGCATTGATAACTGTACGTATAACTACTTTTATGGTATAGTGGTTGTATTAATTTTTCTGTATTTTTAGCATCTGTGATATTTGCATTGATTTTTATAGTTTAGTATATACTGTATACTTAACTTTCAATTAAACCAGATTTTAATCTAGGTGACAACTAACCAGACCCTATGTTGGGACTAATTGCTGCATTATAGTGGTTCTGGTGACTTGAGGCGCTTAGTCCTTTTAGGCGTGGCATATGTTTTGAAAAAAATGATAACTTTAGTACAGTTATTTTTTTCATTGCCCCACTCCATCCCCTAGTATTACCCTGATTATATACATATATGTTATCCATAAAGAATGGCTCCTAGTAATGATTGGGGATTCTTCTGCATATCTGTGGCCCGGCCAGAAGACTTTTTATGAGGGAGGTGTGAGGCTTCTAGTGGGCCACACAGTGAAGAGCCACAGAGGTGAGTGCAGGAAACTGGAAGGCATGCTGAGGGTAGGGTTATTTAAAGTAGAATATATAGAGACACCACGCTCCAAATAGTGAATCAAATACATCTGTTTATTGACGTACGAGCAGCATAGCGTGATGCACTCATTGCAATGTTTCGGGGTCTCACAGGATCCCCTTTATCAGGCAGAACACTTGTTCTGCCTGATGAAGGGGATCCTGTGAGACCCCAAAACGTCGCATTGAGTGCATCACGCTATGCTGCTCGTACGTCAATAAAAAGATGCATTTGATTCACTATTTGGAGTGCCGGTGTCTCTATATATTCTACTAGCTAAATATCACGGTGGCCAACCATCGACAGCCGCAGCACCCACCTTTATTACTTTTGAACGGCGGTTTCAAGTGCAATGGGTTCATGGACTTTACTTGGGTTATCTAAAGTGACACTAAACTCAGGAGTTAAATCTTAAAAATGCATTCAGGTACCTTAACTATTAACAAAAATGAATCTTATCTGTGCATCATTTGGCTGTAGATCCTCAAAGTATCTCTGAATTGGTGCTGACACTGTCCTTCCTTCTGGAGGTTGGCTACTTTTGTTCCCCATGGTCCATGTGTGTGTTTTAAAGTAGCCACCGCACCAAGCTCGCTCCTGTGAAGGACTATAACTTCACGCTTAGTTTATTCATGTGTACTGAAATTATAGTCCATCATGGGAGCGAGATTCTAGTTTACTTTGATTACCCAATCATGTGCAGATACTTTTTACATGGTTTGATAATTGAAGTGAATATTTAAATTTTTGGATGAAGAGTGTCAACTCATTTATTATATCAGTCAAATTCTGTTGAAAATCTGATCACTTTATTTACTGAAAGGATCCTTATAACTATCACACAGTTGGCCTAACCCACCGCTTAAAGAGAATTTCCAGAAATACTATCAATAGCATTTCTGTGAACAGCTACCATGTATAAATGATACCACAATAATGATATATTATTTTATCAGAAACAATTGAGGCAATTACAGGTTTTTCTTCTGGTGAAATCTGGTATTGCTGCATGAAATGTATAACTCTTATGGTAGTCTTTAATGCTCGGACTTTAGTCTGTGGACTTTGACAAACACTAGAGAGGCTGATATTTTATGGGTGATAGGGTGATAGGTGATAGGGATTATGGGTGATAGGTGCCTTTTCATAGAACTGCATGGAGTGATTCACATGGGATGGGAAATTAGCATTTTTAATTTCTAAAATATAATGGAAGTCTAAACATAGAGATCACCTTTCTCTTATGAAATTATTCATTGTAAATAACTACATCCTAGAAATGGTAAGGCAAAAAAAATGTGAACAGTTATGCAACAGAAAAACAAGGAATGTGTTAAGGGGTAGAGAAGAGAACTTGAATTCCAGTGAAAAAAATTATTAATACTTTAATCATACAGATTTCTGTGATTTATTTTTACTGCTCTGGATAGAATGACTATATCACTGTATACAAACAAGAAAGTACATTTGTATTACCTTGATCATTTTGATTCCATATCTGACTTGACGATCAACATTTTTTGCATTGATAAACTCTTTACTGATTACTTTTCCACGAATCACTAAACAGAATGGATCAATAAGAAACAAAGTTAATCATACAAATACATTTTCCATGAAGCATCATAAGATCACTAAAAAGTCAAAAAAGTAAAACATTTTAAGCTAAAAAAATGTTAAGCATATACAGTGGAAACCCTCACTTGGGCCTTTCAGTATTTTACAACTCTGCGTGTATAATTCCTGATATGTCACAATTTATAGCAAGAGTATAATTTTTTGTAAAAAAAACAACCTTTATCTTTATCTTTGAAAAGCAGTGTTTGAGCTCCTGTACGGTTCCTTTGTGTAGGCTGATATGATGCTATCAGTCTGATGCTGGCAGGAGGAAGCACTTTCTTGTTGTCTTTCCACTTTCAGTGATCAGTCTGCAACATTAACTTTGTACTAAGCAAGGTGACGGGTTGCAGTAGGGGCTGATCTGTATCAAACCTCATTTGGTTCTCACTGCCACATCTGTCATTGTCACAGCAACTTTTGAAGGCAATATTTCTGTACCTGTACTAATACTAACCGTAGACATAAATGGGCTAGTAAGTTCACTCACACAGGGGTCCCTTACCTTTTTGGCACCAGGGACCGGTTTCTTGACAGAAAAGGGGGCTGGGGGAGGGGTTGGGGCCGATTTGGGATGATTCAAGCACATTTATTGTGCACATAATTTTTATTATTATTACATTGTAATGTATAATGAAATAATTATACAACTCCCCATAATGTAGAACCAGTGGGAACCCTGAGCTTGTTTTCTTGCTCTCAGGTGGCCAGCTAGCTCTTTACTAGGGCCTGGAGAGGCCCCAGTGAGCAGCATTATAATATGCCTGATTACGGGGCCGCTTCTGCCTGATTGCAGCCAGCCTGCACCTATTTGCAGCCCTGGCCAGGGACTGGCAGCTGTGCAGTTGCTGATGGGCCACAGACTGGTACCGGTCCACCAGGGGGGGTTATGGTGGGGACCCCTGCACTAAAATGTAGCAGTAAAGCAGGTAGCCTATTCATCTCTATTGTGTTTACGTGTACAGAAACATTCGTGCGAACTTGCCAGCCTGTGTAGCCCCAACATTAAATTACTGGGAATTATGTGAAGACTGCTATTTGTCAAAGATCTGAAGACTGTACTTCTTTGTATTGTAACACTAGGGTGGCACACTTTTATTAGTTATCATGTATAATGATCTATAGCTTAGAGGTTCTTGTAATTTTATTGCACTAGTGTATGGAGAACAGGAAAGAGGTGGAGGGAGCACAGGATACCTGCAGGTTTCTACTTAGCACACAGTATTTAGTCTTCATGTCTTCTTTAGTCTGCATGTCTTTCTAACTTTTTGGGCCCCTCTGTCACAGGACTATACTGGCTGGGCTCTTAAATTTAAAATGTGGCTCCTTGACACCAGAGGTTCTAGTGGAATCTCAGTCTTAGTATTTGAGGCAGGACAGCTGGGAAAGGCTCCTGTGTTACTTTCCTACTCATTCAGTCACACACCACCTCCCTTTTGGGGGACACATGCAGTCTACTTCCTCTATGCATAAGTAGAACTCCATGGCAGGCAGTATCACCAAGGGTTCCTGCCAAGAGGGGAGATCTTTGCAGCACTCCAGATCCTTGGGCCCAGTGGCATGGGAACAAAACCCAGGAGGGACGACCATATGCCAGGATTTACCTTAGCTGTTTTATATCTTTCCCAGCATTGAACGTTGGTAAGTCCCCAGGTCTGCTAATTGGCCAGGTATGACACATCCTCGAAAAATATCCTGCAAGGCGCGACTGGGGTGCCATTAGAAAATAATGGCACCCACAACGCAATCGGCTGCGGTGGGCGACTCCGTGACCATGCGGATTGTCGCGCAGTTTTGTGCCTGATTGCCGCACAGTCAGGAGTTGCCCAGGTGTGAACCTGGCCTTAGCTTTATGAGTCAAATTATTATTACTTATGCAGACCCCATGCCACCTGGGGATGGGATTATGTAACTAGAACAAGGTGGTTCTACAATTTTCACACCTCCTATCTTGTTCTTGGACAATCAACATCTGCCTTGGCACATTCCATGGTTATTGGATAAAGTGTCTGCCCTACCTGTGTGGATAGAATGCCAATAGTGACACTCATCGGAACAGAAGAACTGGATTGGATAAAATGCTACAAAATGTTTTCAACATTACAGAACAAGTCCAGCTGAAATTGACTAATTACCACTAGCTATACAGGTGAAACTCAAATAATTAGAATATCATGCAAAGTTCATTTATTTCACTAATGCAACTTAAAAGGTGAAACTAATATATGAAATAGACTCATTACATGCAAAGCAAGATAATTCAAGCCGTGATTTGTCATAATTGTGATGATTATGGCTTACAGCTCATGAAAACCCCAAGAACCCCAAATCCACAACCTCAAAAAAGTAGATTATTACATGCAATCAATAAAACAAGGATTGTACATAGAACAATATCAGACCTCTGAAAAGTACAAGCATGCATATGTACTCAGTACTTGGTTTGGGCCCCTTTTGCAGCACTTACTGCAATTACTTTTGCACGATATTCTAATTATTCAAGTTTCACCTGTACTTGGATAAATGAGAATCTTCACAGTCATAAAACAGGGATTTATTTTTGTCATGAAAAATGCAGTCTTTACTGTACTGTCGATATAATAGTCAACTATTGGGTCTAAAAACTTTTTGCTGAAATAGGTTTCTACTTGTTCCCAAAAAAGTGTAGCATGTGAGCTTCTGGGACTAATGTGGAAAGGCATTTTGCAAAACAGGCCTCTAATTTTTCTTTTCTGTTTTGGCTTGATGTACTTTTTTTTTAAAGGCAGGGTAGTTTAGGCCAGTTTATGTAAAGAAGGCTTTCTCTTTCTACAGAAAGTAATGAGTGATTGTTGTACTTCTAATCTTTCACCTTGCCTGCCTAACACATCTGTGCTGGGTTTCTATATGGAAGGAGTGCCCAAGCTGTTTCCTGGGTAAGAGGGATACAACGGTTAATGGGAAATTTTATATTTCCCATTAACTGTTGTATCCCTCTTCATTGGTTGCTATTGGTTGGTTAATGGGAAATATTGGGTAAAAGTGAACTAGTGGTATTTGCCACATTATGTTAATACAGTCCTAAAATGATTGCAGCCCATTACAGATTCATCTTGCTTGACTTGGTGCTCTTGTCATTTCATTTTGTAGTGCCTATATAAATACTAACAAACATTGCAGTATTAGCTGCATAAGGTACTGTAGCCTTGCAGAGTGAAATTACTTGGTCCTATTTTCAGCATTCACAAGAGACCATGTAAATCTTTATTTCAGGTTTTGGTGATGTTTAGTAAAATATTTGTATTCTTGTTGAAGCTTTGCTCATTTAGCCTGTCTTACTTCATAAACTCTGTTAACATTTATTAAGTTAGACTCATTTCTTAACGGACAGTAAATGCAACGGCCTTTTTGCCCTGTTCTTTATAATTGACTCTGTGGGCAATTAGAAAATAAGCCAGCTGAGATTTCTTAATTTTGTGACTGGAAATATACTGTATGTCTGAGAGGAGATAATTGATTTGCCTGGCACAGGGTTCAGTGCAGATCTTTTAATTTGTTGCTGTGGGCTGACAAATAGTATCTTCTGAAATTGTTGCTTTTTTGTCATATTAACCTCCAGTGACAAAATATTATTTTTGCAGTGTCGCACTCAGTGATTGACCCCATCACCAATGCACACTTGTCAACTCATAAAATAAAAGGTGAACTCCAGGCAAACCACTAAATATAGTTGTTAAACTTGGCTCTTCCCCAGCCTAAGTGGACAGTAAAAGGAGATTCAATGTCTGGAAATAAAGGGCGCCAAACCAAAAGGTGAAACAGTCCAAAAATGCCTTTTAATTGTTCACATTTCGATCAAACAAAGAACAGCCAATGTATTTCAAGGGGGGGGGGGGGGGGGGGGTGGGGGGGGGTGGTAGTGCAACAACATTCCTCCATCAGAATTCATCAGAATGTCTTGGTGCATCACGTTTTTTTTTCTCATTTGTTTTTATTTGGAGTGTACAAAGTGTACGCTTCATTCAAGTCTCCACACAGCACTGCTGTATTTTTTGCATTTTTTCGCACCACACATCACACCTATGTAGTGGTGTGAATGGGGCACATTGAAAACAACTGTTTTCTATGTGCCCTAGTGATGACTGGTGTTCAGTTGCTGAAAAACATCAGTCACCCATTATATTGTGAACAAACCCTTAATGTATGTAGCGTTCACCCCCGAAAGAGCCACTGGATGAACCGGTCTCTCCTAGCCTGTCTAGGGTTTACTGTTGCATTGCTGCCCAAAAGCACTAAGCAACCCTCCAGTGGTAACCCAAAAAACTGATTTCCAAACTGAAGATATGATGTTGATGAACTTTTATTGAAGAACTTTGGAAGGTTAGGGCACAGCGCACCCAGGATATAGTAGACTCCAAAAAAGAAGAATGAGAGAACAAAGTATTTGCAGCCTTTACAGATAGAGGACCTTTAAGCCAATTGCGTCAATCTGTCTCTAGAGCACCTAGCTGTGTACTACTCAATGCAACCGCTTTTAGCCAATTTCAGAATAGACACACACGCTTCAGTAAAGGATCAACTTCTCTCCCCATACCTGTTGAAATTGCTCCATGTCATCTCCATCTTCAGGCTTTAGTCCCAATCCTAGGCCTTAGTCTGAGCAGGCCTAGAAAGGTCAGACAACGCACAGCATCCCACCCCCATACAGGAGGCCTGAGGGGGAAAAGAGGCACTCACAAGGTCAGCCCTGAATATTTATGTCCTCCCCAGCATGCACCACTGGCCATGAACCTCATAGCGATTGGTTACGGAGACACATATGTTCATAACACACCATTATTGGTTGCTCTGCTCTGTGGCAAGGTTACGCACAGCAGCAAGCAGATAAAAACAATAACAGAGAGCTTAGAAGAAAACAAATGAGCACAGATTATCAAATCAGGATCAGGCTGACTAAAGTCTGACA